TGACTATACGCAGTTCTGAACCGAGCATCACAAGGACGTGGCGATACCACTCTCACATCACGGGACCTCATACAAGCGATCCGCCCCGCTCCGAGGGGGTGTGGCTGAGTGGACGTCTAAAGACACCCGCTCAGATATAGAGAGCTCCTGGTCGGCCGTTTTTTACAACGCCGGCCGGGAAGTGGTTAAGGGAAGTACGCACCTATCTCAGCAAGTGTTGCAACCCTTCAAAAAACCTAAAGAAAGCCTATGATACCGCTGTCCTCTCAGACAGGAATGTGACAAGTTTACTATACAGTAGCGCTCTTCACAGAGACAAGGATACTTTAAGTTCTTATTTCGAGCGTAGAGATAAGCGTAGCGATTTTTAAGATCGTCCTTTATTAAAAGATACGGTGCAGAAAAATGTACAGAATATACAGAAAAGATATTACTAAAGAGAGACAAAATATATATACAACAGTAAAATAAAAGGAGAATACTTAACAGTCCTGGTTTTAGGAGTTCTGACACAGTCCAAAGTTCAATAAGCAAAAGAGTGGTCTGAAGGGCTCTCCTTCAAGCAAGCTTGCACAGATGATGTCCACATAATAAAGGGGAACTCTTCTGCGATGTTATGATTTCTTGATGTTGCTGGAGTTCCTTTCACTGATGTTACAAAACAAGAGCCTCTCTTGCTGCCTAGATTAAAACTAAACATGCCCGAGATATGAATTATGGGGGGCCAGGAAGGTAAATGTCGCCTGTCCAACCATGGCTCATTCTAAACTATTTATTCTTAGTATCTATGTTCTCGTTGTGATGAGACCCATCTATGTGTGCACTTAGTTTTACAATATCACGGTCCAATTCCAAATTATGAAATTGAGCTGATATTATAACTCAGTTTATGATTTTTGGGTGAATGCTGGGTCACCTGGGTCATTAAATCTACCAGACCTGCTTGTGTTTATATGAACTTGTCAACTGCTAATAGATGAGTGCCTGCTTGCATGCCTTTAACCCTTTCACTGCCAAGTCAAATCAGCTGGCCAAGCCATTTTTGCATTTTTTGCAATTTTTTCCTATTGATTTGAATATGTGTATGTTATGTGGGGGGAGGGAGGGGTTGTGCTTTTTTTTATTAGTCTTTTTTGTACACATTTATTTATTTTTTACATTTTCTTTTCATTTTTTAATAATGTTTTATTTTTTATTTTTTTACTGTTGGGGGGGCTGCGGCGAAATATCTGGGGTCTAAATAGACCCCTGACATTTCCCTTTTGAAATAGAAAAAGAAATTGAGGACATAAGTCCTCAATTTCTTTTTCTGCAGCCCCAGCACTCAATGAATGAGAAGCCTCAGTACAGAGGCTTCTCATTCATTCACAAACTAATGATAGTAAAAATATTTTACTATCATTAGTTTCTGAATGGGGAGGAGCCTCTGTAGTGAGTGCTAGTCCCCATTCATAAATTCTTGAATGAACAGGCTGTGATGTAGATCGCAGCCTGTTCATTCATAACTGGGGACACATAGTACTATGAGTCCCCAGTTATTTACAAACACCGGAGTGATCAAACGATCACTCCGGTGTTTGCTGTAAACAGAGGGATCGTTAAATATCACTGATATTTAACGATCCCCCGCTCGGCCACGCTACACAGAGCCGCTGTCATCCAAAAACTGACAGGATGACAGCGGCTCCGATCACTATGCCGCTCGGCCATCCTGAATTGCGGCCAGCCGCCGCTTGCTCCCGGGACCCCCCCGCCGGTGATTTTATTACGGATCCCCGCTGCCACAGACCCTACAAGCAGCGGGGATCCATGGAGTCTCTCAGCAGAAAGGCATCAACCTCCTTAAAGGCACAGAAAAACACAAGGCATCCCGCACATCCTAATGGCAGCTGAGAAACCCCAGAAGACGTGTATCCAAACCTCTGTCATTATCCTTAGTGGTGAGACAAGTTGTTTTACATGCTGGTTTGTGAGTGTGCCATGATGCCTTTCTGCTGTTTTACTGTTCAAAGCCCATTTCGTGTGCACCTTACTGTATAACTGGTAACAAATTGTTGAGTGCGTTTGTGCGCCCGGTATTTTTGTTAATAGCGGTCATCAGCGGCTTGTGAGCCGCTGATGACAGCTATTATTTTGAAGGGGACAGTCAGCTGAACAGTTCTGCTATAAGCTTATGGTCGCTAAATCGACCATGAGATTATAGCAGAACTGTAAATGCCACCGACGTAAGGCATACTGAGCTGGCCAGCCGGGAACACTTTTGTTCCGCCGTATGCCTTACGTCGGTGGCAGCAAAAGGGTTAATTAGGGGCAGTCATAAAAAGGTTTAAGAAGGTAATTCTGGACTCTCACTTCTTAGGTAGTGCTGGGGCAATAAAGATTACAGGCCAGATTAGCAGAGTAATAGATCTCTGTTTTGTGGAATGTAGAGAGACCTGGCACATTAACTAAATAAAGGCCTGCATTTGCTTAGAAGGGGGGGGGGGATAAGAGAATGCTATATTTTATATTAATAGACTCAAACCTCATTATCGTCACACTCCTGAAATCCAAATTGCTGCAATCAGTGATGCAGATGTCTGGACATGCTCTAGGATACAAAGGTATTGGTTCCAGGTTCTGGAAATCATACATGATGTAACAGAGATATCCCTACCTCTGGATCCCATATTGATCTCTTTGGGGATAAATTAACACCCATCTACTACCCACTCTCTCAAGCTACTAATAACCTTACCTGTTATACTACGTGAAGAGGGAGGTTCTCCTTCATTGGATCCTCCTGATTGGATCCTCTAATCCTCCCTCTTTTGCAAAATTAATTAATTAATTAATTTGTCTTATCATCCATGATCTTCCAAGCTGGCATTATGCTTGTGTTTAAATAATACTTTGATATGGTGCAATGGATCACTTTTTTGCCACTGATTCTTCTCAGTGCAGGATTAACAGGACAAATATTTATGTTTTCAGGCTGATAGTTCAGTTTTGAGATTATTAGTTTATGAAGTGATAGGTAAAAAAACGGCACTCGCAAGGGCATCTGTCCATCAAAGATGAACTCCAGGAAAATATGAAAACTGAACTACCGGGAGATAAAAAAAAAAAATGCAAGTAGTATAGTATAAGTACCGAAATTTGACTTGATTGCTGTCTCTTACAGTCTCCTGTACAACAGGACTGGGACAGGTAGAGGCAAAAGTAGGAGCCAATCAGGTTAGTGCCTGCAAATATGCTGACAAGCAACAAGCTGGAAGAGGCAGTAGCAGACTGAGCAGAGGGATGACCTAATTTGTCTCCTGCTGCTCATTCACTGTCCTGGCAGGGGGGCATGGTGGTGTCACCAGTGTATTCCTTAAAGTGACCCTGTTGCCACATGGTAATTTGTAACCTAAGAACAGACTGTAATGGAAGAACATCGATACTTACTTTTCCTGGAGGATGGGGGGGAATCAGGCCCCCTCTCTTGGAAGTATAGTTTCTGAGATGGGTACTGCACAAGGTACAAAATACACATAATAACGAAATATATCAAAAATGTTTGTTCTTGAGCTTATTTTATCCTTTAAGTTGAAATGTTGGTTAAAGCTTAATTTTTCTATATAAGTAAGTGTAGGGAGGTAGAATGTTTCTGTCTAGGATGATGATGAAGTGAGAGGTATGGGTGCTTTTCCATTCACATTTGTTTTGAGCCCAGAAATCTCTGTGCTGAAATGTATGTAGCGTTCACCCCCGAAGGAGCCGCTCGAATATACGGGTACTTCTGTCTCACCTCTGTGATAGACCTCAGGCAATGGATCCATAGCACACCTTGTGAGGTTTTGTAAAAGTTTTACTAAACAAATGATGAACTATCCAATAAATGAATGAACAGGTACAATAATGGCAAATAAACAGCAAGTAATAAAAGCACTTTAAATATGCAGATAAGTCTTAGCTATGGCTGCCTATCTGCATATGCAAACAACACTGAACTGACTAATATAATTCTATCAGCAAACTATGAAGGCAAAGTCTCAGTCCAAACAGACCCGGGTCTTAAACCTACTGGCCAGTGGTATTTAACTAGGCTAGCCGTCGGTGGGGCCAAAGTCCTGCTTGTACAGATGGTTTAAACATAATATCACTGTGGCCAATGGCCTCTCACCACTCCTGTAGCTTAGATTGTAGTTCCCAGCATTGGTAGGTGAAAAGAGGTGGTTTCTCCTCTGCAGCCAACAGCTCTCAGTTTCCAGCAGCAGCAGCTTGTGCCACAGGGTAGCGATGCTTGTAGCAGGTCTTTGTAGAATCCAATCAATCACGAAAGGGCAGGCAGGGTCTTTTGCTGATACAGCAGTCACTGAATCCCCTCATGGAGCGTTTCCCACACTGTAGAAGAATCTTTCAGCAGGATCCCTCAGTAGGAGAGCAGACAGACACTGGAATCACAGATACTGTTCAGCAGACAGTGATCATCAGCAAACACCTCAGGTTTTATCTCTCTCCTGAAATAACTAGCAGGCAACAAATCACAATCCAGCCACTGGCAAATCCCTTGCCGATCTGACCGTGTTCTGAGAGAGGTTCAGTCACCTTTCTATTCCAGATCACAAAGCCTCCTGGGTCCGGTAGTTCAGTGCAGCATAACATCCACTGTCTCTTCCTGCATTGAAACTCCAACTCCCACAACACCTCAGTACTGCTGAGAGCTGAGCCAATCAAGTCTCTGTAGCAAAATACAGTCTTAAAGCGGCATGGCTCTTAAAAGGGAAATTATACTGGTATTTATATGTAATATATACAGTATTTATATAAATAATGGTTCGCTACATGTACATAAGTTTGGTAAGAGGCTGTTGCATGCACTATCAAGGGAACTGAGAAAGATGTGTGGCTCTACAGCCAATGTTTAGGGAATACCATTAAAAAACCTATAACTGTAGATAGAATATGTAGATGCAGAGACAATAAAAGTGTTGCAGAAATCATCTAACTCACTATTTACCCAATTTGATTTCCAGTCTTTTACAGTAGTCAGGACGCAAATCGTGTGCTCAAAGTTCGGAAAAGGGCAAATAGTTTCCTGGAGGAGATGAAACCTGGGTCACTGGAGAGGGAATGCTACGAGGAGAAATGTGACTTAGAAGAAGCAAATGAGATATTTGAGACCCGGGATGAAACGGTAAGAGATTCTCTGATTTGGTTTCCATCATGATACTTATTGCTATTTCATCAAAATGATTGGTAACATTCCAGTAAAAACTATTTCTTTATTTCTAGCTTAACTTTTGGTCAAAGTACTTTGGTGAGTTGCTATCTGAAAAATGGGGCTAAAGTTAAATATGCATAGAAATTTACAAGGAATCAAAGGTTTAAACATCTTGTTGTTACAGATGGAGATCAGTGCCTCTCTAATCCTTGTGTACATGCTGTCTGTAAGGATGGTATAGGAAAATTTGACTGTACCTGCAACGAGGGCTGGGAAGGAAAATTATGTGCTTATGGTGAGTGCTTGGAACTGACTGACTGTTATTTTTGGCTGATAAGTAGCTATTGTATTAAAGGTGAAGTAATATTTATTAGAAAGCATCCTAAGATGATGGCTGCGAATTGGTTGATACTGTTTAAAGCGCTGTGAATATAGTCTAGGGCTGCAACTAACGATTATTTTCATAATCGATTAGTTAAAGCCCGGTCATCAGTTTAGAGTTGGCCATGAATATTGGCTGGAGAATTATTGCTCTCACTCTGGCACACGCGGCGATACCTGACATGTGTAGCGCAATTGTCATACGTAGGTGCACCTGACTTGTGTTTCCATTGCTATGCACTTTACATTTTTGTTTTGGTATTTTTACATTTATTTTATTTACATTTATTTTATTTTTTTACTTTTTCTGTTAACTTCATTGATATCACATGGGGGGGAGGGGCTCACAAGCCATCCACGTGATAGCACATTGGAGATGATAGGTTCTCTTTAAGGTGGCATTAGGGGGTCTATTAGTCCCCTAGGGTCACCTTTCCACATCAAAGGAGCTATTCAAGCACACATGGCTTGAATAGCTTCAGCCAGGGAATGTAAACACAGCAGGCAGTGGGTGTGTGCAATAGCCTACCTGCTCTTGGTTATTGCAATTTGAAATAGCCAATAGCAAGATGGCTATTGCACCTGCCCACTGCCTGCTGTCAATCAGCAGAGGAGGAACCTAAAGGAGAAAGTTATTTTTCAGGTCCTCCTCTGCTGATTGATAGCAGACAGTGGGAGGGTGCAATAGCTAGTCTGCTATTAGCGATTTCAAATTACAATAGCCAATAGCAGACTGGCTATTGCACCCACCCACTGCCTCCAAGCATCTCGGACCCGTCCAGCAGTGTCAGACTGTGTCCCGGCATCTCTCTCTGTCAGAGTGGTACCACCTGACAGCCGGTCTGTGTCCCCTCTAATGCCTGCTGCCTCTGCCGATACAGCCAGGGAAGAGCAGCGGGATCGGAGGTGACATGAGCGGACCTACTGCCTAGGGCAGTGATGGCAAACCTTTTTGAGCCCGAGTGCCCAATCTGGATCACTAAACCAACTTATGTGTCTCAAAGTGCCATCCCTGCACTTAGACCCGAATACTGATGATTTCTTTTAGAAAAACACCATACAACTTTCTGAACTAATTATGTGCATAAATCTTAGAAGAAAAATACAATACAAGAGGATGATGAAAAATACACTACAGAGTGACATGTACCTTTGTACTGTGCTAATGAGTGAAGCGTTCCATTGCACTGTACTACTAAGGTACATGTCACACACTGCAAGGGAACAGTTTCTCTACAGCTTGGAGTCAGTGGTGTAGCACCAGGGCCCAATTGCATCTGCGACCGCTGTGACCCTGGTAGTTCTGCCACTGACTCCATCCTGTAAAGGAATTAATTTCAGCAATATATTACATAACAATGCATTTGAAAAGACAGTGACCTGGATCAAGGCTTAGGATGCCAACACCCCTGAGAGTCGTATATCGAAAAGTCAGAAAAGTTGGGGTTTTTTAGGCAGCCGACTGACAACTTGCACACCAAGAATTTCTTGAAAAAGTATATTTTAAGTATATTTTAATTGATTAAAAAGCAAATAGAATTGATAAAATTGACAACATGATTCCCCTATAAACTCACTCCACATTGATTAAATTCATTCATATGTAGATGACAATCAGAATTCTTGTGCAATTGAACATGATTGAAAAAGCATGATTGAAAAGTTCATAATTACATAACATGATTTATATAATGGAAGATGATGGAGGAGCTTGATTTTCTCAACGTTTCGCACTAGATAGCGCTTCTTCAGGAGATGAAGAGGGAAGTTGTCCTTGGAGTCTGTGTGCATCCCAGTCGTTCACCCTGGCTCAGACCGTGAAGGAATAAAAGCAAATGGCAAGGAGGGGAGAAAGAGGAGAGAGAAAATGAAAAGAGGCCCAAGACCCCTGCAGGGCTGTATTAGCTGCTGGGGGCACGATATCGAGAGAGAGGAACGGTTACCTTACTACGCTGACTGTCAACGTTTTGTTATCTACTCCCAATTTTTTGCGAGGAGTGGTACCCCGCCATCTCCCGATTGGGTCTTCCTCTACTGGGGTCTTGGGCCTCTTTTCATTTTCTCTCTCCTCTTTCTCCCCTCCTTGCCATTTGCTTTTATTCCTTCACGGTCTGAGCCAGGGTGAACGACTGGGATGCACACAGACTCCAAGGACAACTTCCCTCTTCATCTCCTGAAGAAGCGCTATCTAGTGCGAAACGTTGAGAAAATCAAGCTCCTCCATCATCTTCCATTATATAAATCATGTTATGTAATTATGAACTTTTCAATCATGCTTTTTCAATCATGTTCAATTGCACAAGAATTCTGATTGTCATCTACATATGAATGAATTTAATCAATGTGGAGTGAGTTTATAGGGGAATCATGTTGTCAATTTTATCAATTCTATTTGCTTTTTAATCAATTAAAATATACTTAAAATATACTTTTTCAAGAAATTCTTGGTGTGCAAGTTGTCAGTCGGCTGCCTAAAAAACCCCAACTTTTCTGACTTTTCGATATACATAACAATGCAGAATACCGCCAACTATAGAGGGCTACATATCCCAGCAATACATTATGCAGCAATGCAGAATACCACCAACTATAGAGAACTGCATATGTCAGCAATACAATACACAGCAATGCAGAATAACATCAACTATAGAAGACTTATATCCTAACAATACATTATACAGCAATGCAGAATAACACCAACTGTGAATGTATGGACATTCAGGTGAGCTGTACAGGCTTTCAGGTGGGCTGTATGGGCTCTCAGATGGGTTGTATAGTCTCTAAGGTGGGCTGTATGAGCTCTGAGGGAGGCTGTGCGGCTCTGAGGGGGGCTGTGCGGCTCTCAGCGGGGCTGTGCAGCTCTCAGGGGAGGCTATGCGGCTCTTAGAGAAGCTGTGCAGCTCTCGGGGGGCTTTGCGGCTCTCAGGGGGGGCTGTGTAAAAAAAAAATCAGCGTCTGGCATTGGTCAGAGGGAGAATCGGTTGTCAAATAATCCTTTAGCGGGACACTCTGATCTGTGGGGAGTTGCCGAGGCATCACTGAAGAGATAATAGAGTAGAACTCTCTAGTGGCCATTAGTAGTACAATTTTTTGAATATAAGAAAACAATTATGAACTGTATTGTATTACAGCAATACAATGAAGGGTGCATTCACACTGGAATCAGAGCCAAAAACATGAGTCAACTGAGGTGTGTTGGCTTGCATTTGCATAGCAAAGTGCATTGACATTCATTGTGTAACA